CACTTGTTGCACTGTTGGCCATATGCAGGGCACTTTGATCTGTCTGGTACATGTTTCCTGCCACAAAACTTGCAGTCGATCTGCTGAGTACTTCCGTTTGCTGATTTCTTCTTCTCTTCTTGTTTCTTTCGGAAGAATTTTTCTTTCTTCTTCCCCACTGCATTAACCTCGTGCAAGTTTTGCATTTGTTTCAACTGGCTTTGGGTTGCTTCGGCAGCTCGTGCAATTTCTAGAGCTTTATTCAGCGTCAAATCTGGGACTCGCAGCAAACGCTCTCTCACGTTGTTATCAGCGATTCCAAACACGATGCGGTCACGTATCAATGAATCTTTCAAATCTTGGAATTCACAAGAGTCTGCCATGTTTCGTAGAACTGTGGCATATTTATCAATGGGCTCCCCACTTTCCTGTCCACGCGAAAAGAATAAATACCTTTCGTAAATTGTATTCTTGCGAGGCTCACAATACTGCTCAAAATGCTCTAGAACTTTATCCATTTTGACTTTGTCTTCGTCACTGTCCCACGTGAATGCATTGTAAACATCTAGCGCTTCGTCGCCGATCACGGTGAGAAAAGTTGCTACTCGAATGGGGTCTTCCTTTCTGGCTGTTCCGATAGCTAGCTCATAGTTACTCCACTTTTGTTTAAATCTTTTCCAATTCTGAGATACATTTCCACTTGAAAGCTGCAGAGGATCCGGCGGGTTTAACAGACGCCCGGCCGCCATTTCACACCACGCGGTTTCGATTTATGCGAACAGCAACGAACCAAGGTGTTCACAAGACAAATATTTCACAAATGCGGTCGGCAAACAGCTTCATCCACTGACTTCTGACACCATGTGTTAGTCCTTAGCTTCAAAACGAGCAAACTTAACCAAACAGTCTTTAATCAGCGAAAGCTCAAATCAACTTACAAGAACGTACCCGAAACGTTTTCTCAGTATGCGATATTATGTCAGCGGTATTGATTACTACTTCATAATATCACAACTACCCAGTTTCCTCCCGTTTTATTTTCGCGCTTTCTTCACTCAGCGGACCCAATTATCTCGAAGCCTGGAACACGCGAGTAGGCCTGATTAGGCAGAAATTATGTCATCATTATATAATTTATTATAGATTAGAGCGCAACAGTAGATCATTCTCTCTTGAGCGCAAACAAAAAATTCTTCAAATGCATTTCAAATTCGCATATTTCTATTTCGTTCTTATTCATTTAGAATTCAAAACCATAAATACATTCGTACATGTACGCTCCCGTAGTTTCCTCGAAAACCATACCCGATTCCAAACCAAAATACTCAAAGTGTTTTCAGACCACCAAAACGGCCCATAAACCCTACCCTTTAGGGCGGCAAATACCTATATGGCTTACATAAGAGAGTAACCCCGGGTCCTGACCCCTTTCATGATTGTTAAAGACCGAGACCATGTCTGAAATGGGTGTAGAAAAAGGCATTTTCGTCAGGCTCTTGATTCAGAGAAACTCCACCAAGAATTTCTATTTTATACCCAGTCCGCGGTCTGCAGTCCGCGTTTTATACCTAGTCCGTGTTTTATACCCAGTCCATATTTTCCAGTCCGCGTTTTATACCTAGTCCGTATTTTATTCCCAGTCCGCAGTCCGTAGTCAACAGTCCGCAGTCCATGTTTTATACTGACCGGTTTCAAAATCGATTGGGCTAGCCGTACAATTGGAAGGAAATTTTTCGTTTTTGCTTTGTTTTGCTTTGTATTTGAGGGCAATTTCCAAGTACAAGCCCCCGGGGGCCTTATATTTGGAGGGGCGATTTAACAGACGGGTTTTTGCGTTAAAAGTTTGAGGGGCTTATATTTGGAGGGACTTATTTTCAAAATTTTACTGTACTTTATTATGTTGTCAAGGAAAGTGTCAGCAAATAGGTCGTCGTTTTCTAGGTCGTCGTTTTCTAGGTCGTCGTTTTCTAGGTCATCGTTTTCTAGGTTGTCGTTTTCTAGGTCGTAGGTCTTCGTTTTCTAGGTCGTCGTTTTCTAGACACCCTCATTTTTATGCATGGGACCCCTCTTTATTTATGAACTATTTATTTAAAGGATTATTATTACAATGAACAAAATGACATTACAAGGTGTTTAGGGAAAGCAGCTCAATCTATCATGTAAAAACACTCCGGTCCAGTTTCTAAAGAGCAGTATAACTGAAGTAGCTGGGCTGGCACTTCATCAACATTGCAAATAGCCTCTCAGCATGTTTAACGGTCGCCTTTTGGTGTATGATGTAAGCTTATCACAAAAGTGTTTAACGACAATATTTACAAAACAAATTCAAACTATGTTTCCATACCTGGTCCAACAGCACGACTTCGCAGGGTTTGCAGCAGATATCCGGTTACATTGTCCATTCTGCGAATCACATCGGCAACTTCTGGTGAAAACTTCTTCGTTTTCTAGGTCATCGTTTTCTAGACACCCAAAAAATGACCATGATATAGCCCCTTTAACATTAAAATGATAGATAGATTGATTTCAAAGTGCTAATTGAAGGTAAATTTGTCTTGAAGGTGAATTTGATCATCACAAGTGATCATGGTATGGCTGCAGTGAACAGTTCTCGAGTTATTGTTCAGGATGAATATGTACCTCAATCCAACTTGGTATTCTCTTATTCTAAATCCCAATAGAGCAGACCATGTATTTGAGCCTTTCTTTCATATTCTACCCATGGAGAGGATGTTAAACAAACTGAAACCATGGATAGTAGAAAGACTGGATAGGAAACTTATGTCACGTGGGCTGATTTCTTATCGCCGATTGGTTGGTTCGTGCTCCAAGCTGGCGTTGGATGGTTTCATCAAGGTGGAAATTTGTGACGAAACGATGGCGAAAATGTGGCGCAAACCAGTCGAAATGTAGGTTTCTTTGCCTGCATTTTGTTCTTTTTCGGATTTTTTAGTGGTACTTTAATTTTTGGTGTGTGTTTTCCCCGTCGTTTGTTGTCTTACGGCGATGGCGATCCTTCAAAGCCACATTTGAACCTTCGAGGTAAGCACTTCTTGTTGTTGTTTAGTGTTATTTGTCCTTGTCTTTGAGAAAATTGTGTCCCAAAAATTGACCTTACCAGAGTCATATTTAGTACACTTAGCGACTGTTTTGGGACGCCTTTGTTATGAAGGTTTCTTCTTGTTTCTATTCTTAACTACGATTGGCAGATGTTTTAAGGAAGGAATTGTGGCATAGGCATAGTTACAGACTGTTATTTTTCAGCCATAAATTTCATTTGAAAATGGCTGAAACTAACTACGGTCTGAGCTGGCTCCGAGCAAGTGTACGCACATGGTGTGTAAATTTCCAATCGACAGACAAGTTTGTGTTGAGAAATGTTTCGCTCAAGTAATATCCTAGATTAACCCTGTTAATTGTTCGTAAAGCAGTTCTCATCTTTCAATGTTGAAATAAAACTACTAAATTATATATCTAGTGAATACAATCGCCTCACATCGCTCCTCGCAGCTTATATTCGAAGGCACTGAAGAGACTCGAAAAAATTTTGTACTTTTCCCTTACATAAACTATAAATAATTTTTGCATCAATGGTAAAACACCTACTGACATCAGTTTGTCCTCCCTTTAGGCTCCTAAGTGTTGTTGTTATTTTTTTAAACAGTGTTTTAGATTTCCTTTTGTTTTTCTTTATTGTAGGATTTGCTCAACACACATAGTCAGTCAATGAAGACAATAAAATTGTGGTCAAGTACTCTTCTCAGAGGACACAAATCAATCAATCTTTCTGTATTAAACAGCGACAAAGTTGCTTTAGTCATGCATGAGAGCCATTATTTATGATCAGAAACTTTATTTATCACTTCTGAAGTGTATTTATTTAATTTCTTTGTGAGTGAGATAAATCAACTGTGTTTAAGGGTCAATGCTTGTATTAGCTACAGAGTCATGTGTTTAAGTTGGTTAGTGTTCTTCTCTGAAACGGTCTATATCTGAATCACATTGTTTTTCAAACCAAAGATGGACTTGATTAGCACTATTATTGTGTGTATTCGGTTTTTTAGAGATCCAAAGCAACAATGTACCTGTAGATGATAAACCTTACCAAGGTATATTCTAAATCAAATTAGTAAAAAATATACCTGTACTTGTTTGGGGTATGAATTTTGTGTGAAGAATCGATGTCAAATGCGGCAAAAGGACATATATATGATTTAGGAACATCAGACTTGTACGATTTATAAAAAGATAACTTCAGGGGGGGCTGGCAGCGAGGTCTGGAACCGAGTTTACATGATCGCCCCAGTTAAGAAATTTGGCCGAGTGAGACTGAGTACCAATTTTCCTTCAAAACAAATATGGCGGAGAATGCGGACATGGAAAGATGATGAGTTTTTGCTCGGTTTTACGTTTTACGGCGTCCAAACATCAAGAAAAGGTTTTGATGAACTTTTTTCATGAAATTTTTGGACATCAGGAGGCGTGATGTATGAACAGTTCATGAGTGACTTCGCTCATCGTGATTCCGCACCTTGGCAAGTTCAGTTATTTATAAGCTTCGTGAATTTTCGAGCGACCAGCCTCAGGGCAACCTGCTCCATCTCTTATATATTTTTTCACCTACGGTGGTATTAAGAACTCTCTGCTTTATCCTAAACATATGCTACGAGTTCATTATAGTATGAGTCTTGCAACAGTCATATGGGAATGTTCATTAAACCAATTTTGTACTTCGCTGTTCGTAAGTTTGTTTGTACACCGGGAGCCACAACAAATATTTGTGGGCGTAAATACAGAATACAGGGCTAATTTAGTAAAAGCCAGGTTAAACTTTCCAATCACTTTGCTTCACCTACACTGGGTCTGTCAGTATAAGCTATTTTTAATATCAAAAGGCTGCAGGGAAGGGCTTACTGAATCTTCAAAACCTTCGCTGGAATATCGTTTGTGTGATAATCGATAAATAGCTCCAACAGCAACACCGTATTTAGTAGTTTTATATTAGATAGTGACTTCGGTTTTAAGTACTTCCTTGAAATTGTTTGTACAAAAATTACCCCATAGTTTTGAATTATACTTGAATCTGAGTGTGGGGACAAGAGGTTAATCCAGTTGCTAATAAGAGTGAGTACATCAGAGAGGGGTATGCTCAGTATACATTGAGAAAATCCCTCAAAGGACTGAAGTATAAGAAACAGAAAAAAGAAAATTGAATGTTTTGCAAAGTTTATAAAGAGAATCAGAAGGACCTTGAAAAATGTACAACTTCAATTGTTTGTGTAAGTTATGAATCTGATTTACAAGTAAAATAAACAAGGTAAAATTGACTTTTTATCAACCATCAAAAGAAGTTATTGTCCCTTGAGCCCAATCCCCTCAGCAGTTCTTTCTACATACTACCCTTGGCTTATTTGGCCTAGATGGGTATGTGCTGCTTAGTTAGGGTGGTGACCATTTCACCCTTTAGAGTTTTGAACAGGGTGTCTGTTTGGGCTGTGAAGGTTGATGAAGAGCAGTCTGTAGTTACATTTTTGGTACCACAAATTTTTTCCCCAAGTTTTTCCATCTTTCTAAGTTTAAGACTAACTTAATTCTGTATGCTAACTGAAGTGAATAAGTTTTATCAAATCAGGTCTCTTGGCATAAAAAGGGTGGGGGAAATGAACAATGTGTCCCACTACCCATACTCTCTTTCAGTGCAAGCCCAGGGAGATGATCTCACATTTTAATACCCTTTTACCACTTGTGT